GAAAGCTGATCTCCCTGGAGCCCAGCCAGAAGATGCTGAGCATTTTGGGTAGGGAGGATGTGGAGAGGACCAGGTCAGTGAAGGCCAGCATGGCCAGGAAGAGGTACATGGGCTCGTGCAGACTTGGCACGGTCTTGATGAAGACCAGAAGGGCGATGTTCCCCACCACAGCAATGGCATACATAACGCTGAAGGGGAAGGCGATCCAGAACTGCTCCTTCTCCAGCCCAGGGATGCCGACCAGCAGGAAAGAAGGATGCTGGGAGAAGGCGGTGGTGTTCAGAGATGACATGTTTGCCTCCTGCCTACTCTAAGAGCTCTTATGTGCCAAAAAAAAAAAAAAAAAAGATTATGGAAACACCTTAGAATTGATATTTTCAGTGCTAAACACAAAACAGACTGAGGAATAGGTGAGGTGCTCAAAACTCCCACATGGGCAGACAACCCTATAACAGCTCCCTGCAGTAATCCAGGAGAGCACTTTTGAAGCAAGTGTCCTGCCAATTTATTTTCAGTTAAAGTGTTTTATTTTGCATCATGGGTCCTCTTGGAGCATACAGACTGGATTCCTCCTGAATGAAATAAAATTGGATGAGTCCTGCAGGAGCACACCTGGTCCTCTTCAGTCTTCAAAGGGTGCCTTTTGGGGAATCCAAGGGACCAGATTAGACTTGTTCCAAAGTAAGCCTTCTGAAATGTGCATAGTGGGTATATGAGGTTTTAAGCACCAGCTGTATGTCTCTAGGGAAGTCTTTTTTGCACTGCGATGCTCGCTCATATAAACAGCAGCAAGGAGAATTTGGCACGGTCAAGAAATATTAGATCTCAGTGGGAAACACTGAGCCAGTGCCATGTTCCTTTGGCAATTTCCCTGCAAATGTAGACCCCTAATGATGTTCCTTCCTGCCCCCTGCAAAAAGACAGGAGCTCACTCCGTGCATCTTGCTCAGCTCATGCCTTCATGCTCAGAACTGGGGTAAAAAAAAGGTTCCTTAAAAAAATCCAAGCCTGAAACACAGATTAAGCCAGTACTCCTGACCTTACAAGATCCTTCAGAAGTCTTCCTGAGATCAAGACCTCTTGCATCAGAGAGCTTCAGAGGGGCTTGGAGGTCTAGGAGTGGAGGAGCCTTACAAATGTTTACAAACCTTAAAGATGCTCACGGCTCAGGGATCATCTGCAGCCTAGGAGAAATTCCTTGTCTGTTCCACAGCTGTAAATACCCTAGGAGTGGGAATTCCTGATATTTTCCTTTTTTCCTCTTCCTTCCTCCCAGCTTCCTCCTTTGGTTCCGTGGTACTTAGTGCTTCATTCTTCCATGGAGAGCACCAGGAACATGGATGTAATTCCCAGGCCAAAGCAGCATGCAAGACAGGACATTTGCCTGGGAGCTTGCTGTGGCAACACTTGCAGAGGGTATTGCAGAAGGGCAAACCATTGCCCTAACCTTAAATACCCACCTGCCTCCTGCAGGTTTCCAACCAGGGAAGCTGCACCGTGAAGCCCAGGAGGTATTTGTGTATCTGAGAGACAAATCCCAGCAGGGAGCTCTGCCCTTCTCCTGCTACTTAATATGTAATTAGAGAAAGAGATAGAGAAATAAACAATTTTTTAACCTGTTCGCTGCTGATGAGCTCACAGTTACATTTTGCTTGTTTTGATTTCTGTTTTCTTGCAGTGTGCATATGTAGAAGAGACTCTAGGGGCAATGGCGTTGTTCAAGATTAAATCACAGAACTGAGCTTTTTAATAAATGCTTTAGCAACATAATTTATGAAACGCTTCCCAAGCAGCAGTAATATAGCCTTTCCGTGTTACTTTTCATCTGCTACCCAGTACATGCTTTAAGAGAGGGATCAGTACCATCATCCCCATCAGACAGATGCAGACACAGAATTGTCAAGAGGTCATGTAGCTAGAAGCAGGTCTAGGGGCCTATCATGTGTTTCCTGAATTATGTCCACAGCTTTCCACACGCTGCACCTCCTTTTGCTGTTTATGTAGCCTTCGCTGCGGAGTCTCTCTGTCAAATCTTTGGCAATGCCATTTTCAATCAAAAAGCAAACAAACAGACAAAAAAAATCCATTTGGGGGCCACCATATCAACCTCCAGTACAGCCTACAGAACAGTCTGGGACCACAGAAAATTCACCGGGGTTAAGGAGGACGATGCAATGGCAGAAGTTGTTCTCATCTATGTCAGAGGTCCTCCAGCTTTTTGAATGTAGATCCCAATGTTCAGACCCACTCTGCTCTCTGAGACAGCAGCGGAACAACTTTATCGCAGTTCCCCATCCCTGCAGGGCAATGCTCCTTGCCTGAAGCAGGGAAAAAAGATGAAATTTTTACTGATGCCCAGGGGAAATTTATCATGCGTCCCTGCTCTGAGGCTCCATTAGCTGTCTTCTTAAAAAATAGATGGCTAGGAAATAAAATACAGCATTTTCAAGTCAGTTCATTCATTTTTCTTTATTATTTTTTTTTCCCTGAGCACAAAAGGGAACAAATAAGGAACATATGGAGAATGGGCAGGAGCCATTTCTCAATGCCACAGTCATCTGAAAAGAGTTTAGGTCCACAGCCCATCTCTGGAAAATTCATTCACACTTGCCCAAATCATATTAGGCAGGCACAGAATGTTTTCATTTTTGTGAAAATCTGTTACCCTTCTAAGTTATAGTAAAGCAGGATATGGCAAAAATGACAGGGGGCAAAGTTGACTTTAAGTCCCAGATGGCAACGACTTGTAACTTGCTTAGACGGAAATATTTATTTTGAAATAAAACATGACCTAATTTGGCAGGGAAGTTTACGAAAAGAGCTGTTTCATGGAAATTGAAGCTACAGACTGCAATATAGATCACATACTACAAAAATGATGCACATTTTAAAATCCGCGCTAGCTTGCAACTGGAAAAAAAATGCACTGGACCACAGGGTGTTTCCTGTCCCCTGAAGGCTCCAGAGTAAGCGCATGTCTTTGAAGATAGCCGTTTTAGCACATCTAATTGTTTTGGGCAAGATGTAAGATGCCCTGGGTGTAACCATTTCACCTATATTAGCCAGAAGGACAGATGGGCACAGAGTTATCTTCTCTTGAAAGAGAATGTGTTATTCTTTGCTTTCATCCTCCTCAATAGAAATTGTTGTTCACTGCCAGCTTTCCGCGTATTTTCCTTTCTTTGTTTTTCCAGAAGATTTAATTCCTCTTTCCCAGTTCATCTTTTTTTTTAATTATGCATATACGTAAAGGGGCCACAAGGGCACATGTCAAGGAGAAGAAGGTTGCCTGGAGGGGTTGTGCAGTCTCCGTCTGTGGTGGTTTCTAGGATCCAACTGGATGAAGGCATGAGAAACCCACAAGGGCACATGTCAAGGAGAAGAACGTTGCCTGGAGGGGTTGTGCAGTCTCTGTCTGTGGAGGTTTCTAAGATCCACCTGGATGAAGCTGTGAGCAAGCGTGTATTTTTTGCCCTTGTGGCAAAGAAGGCCACCAGCCTCCTGGGCTGCATCAGGAGGAGCATGGCCAGCAGGTCAAGGAAAGTGGTCCTTCTCCTCTGCTCAGCCCTACTGAGGCCACATCTGGGGTGTTGGGTCCCATGCTGGTCTCCCCAGGACAAGAGGGTCATGGAGATGCTGGAGCAAGTCCAATGTGGGGCTGCAAAGATGATGGAGGGACTGGAGCATCTCTCCTATGAGGAAAGGCTGGGAGAGCTGGGGCTCTCCAGCCTGGAGAAGAGAAGGCTTCATGGGATATCTCATCAATGTGTATAAAAATGTGATGGGAGAGTGTAAAGAAGACAAAGCCAGAGCCTTCTCAGTTCCTAGAGACAGGACAAGAGGCAGTGGGCACAAACAGCAACCCAGGAAGGTCCATAAGAACATAAGGAAAAACATTTTCACTGTGGGGGTCTTCCAACACTGGAACAGGACACGCAGAGAGGATGTGGAGTCTCCATCCTTGGAGATATCCAAAAGCTGTCTGGGCATGGTCCTGGGCTACCTGCTCTAGGTGACCCTCCTTTGAGCAAAGTAGGGGAAGTCTCTCCAGAGGGGAGGAACCAACTTCAGCAAATCTGTGATTTTGCAATTCTGTGACTTTTTTTTTTTTTACAGTATGCTATTCTGAAAGATATTATTTTCCCCACTCCAGTTTGCAGTTTCTTTTCTAGTTTCTGAGAGACTGCTGGATATTGAAATACCAGCAACACAAGAGGTGCTTGGAGAATATAAGAGTATCAGGTGCAAGAGGAAACCTGGTCTGTGAGGATATCTATCTGATTAACAACTATTCAGCATGAAGGTCTAGGAAAAGAGGCAGGAAAGGTAATAAATTAAACAGCAAGATGCACAGGCGCTAATAAACAGAGACAATTGCAAAGAGCAAACCCCTCAGGTCTTGGATCGATGTACGACTGAAGGACCATCTCAGAGGTGACTAGACCTTTGTACCTGCTGAGGTTGGGGAGCAACTTCGTTATGTATCTCACTGGTGCTAATGGGAGTGTTCAGAATGTGCCAGAATTTAGGGCAAGGCCCAAAGGTGAGCCAAAAATGCCAGGAAAAATGGAAATAGCACCAAGCTTCTGGGGGACAGATCCTGGAGGGACCCATTTGTGCTCTGCATGCATGGTGTGCAATCTGATAGCTAGCTCCAAGCCAGAACAGCTGGCAAATACAAACAGCATTGGGCCATGTGTATTGCTCATGTTCACATGCATGTGGTTTGTGTTTGCACGGCACCTGCAAAAACCTTATTCCCACACTGCTCCTTTGGGATGTCTGCACAGGATGCGCATTGAGTCCTGTGCAGCTGGACCTCATACGGGGACCCACAGCAGCAGTGGCCAGCCGGGGGCCTGCATTTCTCTGGGTCCCAAACTCCTCCAGATATGGCAGGATTTAGCCTAGCATATGCAGAGTAAAGACTCCCAGGGGAAGTGTAAACTGTGGAGTCCACAGCAGGACTTAGTTTCCCCCTCCACAAGCATGCAGCCAAGAGAGGGCAAGGAAAACAAGCTGAAAGAGGGTCATGGGAATGTACAGAGACATGACTGAGGGCTATGATATATGCTGTAGACCTGTGATAAAAGAACTGCATGACCTTGCAGTAAAATGTAGCAGAGCAAAACAGAAAAATATATGATATAGGGAAAGTGAGGGTAGCACCAAGAGTTCACTATGCTAGATAGAGGCAAAATGACTGTGCAGAGATCAGAGTCATTTGGTTTTTGTTTTTTTCATAGGTCATTAACCTTTCTATGGCCCTCCTACTCCAGATTAAACTCCAATTACTGCAGAGTTAGACAAGAGAAAGGCAAGGGAAATTCTCTCTTATGGGGCATGCACAGAGCATTGCAAGGTCTAGAGGTTTCAGACCTTAAACCTTTATTGTCTAGGGAAGTTTTTGTTGTTGCTGTTGTTGTTTTACATTTCAGAAGTCTGTCCACCTTTATCAGAGTCTTGTACAGTTAAACACAAAGAAACCAAGACACCTTGCTATACAGGTGGAAGGAAATGAAGAAACTCATAGTCAAAATATCTCTACAGTGCTTGCAAGAGGTATTCTTTTTCATCTTTCCCCTCCTGATGCTTGCAGAATACATAGTGGCAAATGGAATGAAGGATTTTAATCAGAGCAAGTCTGACAACCTCTCTAGAAGAGCGAGACGTTGCAGATCACATTGCAGCTGCTCTGTGAAATGCACGTGTGGCCAGCGGAGCGTGCACACACGAGCCACGGTGAAGAACGGGCTGTCATGGCCCCAGCTTGACAATTCCCACCCCTGCCTTCGGTAAATACAAGAAAGGTTAACGGATTCCCAGGGAAGTGGTCTGAAATCAATTTCTTTTTTCCCCAAGAATTTCGCGCCATTCAACAGTAAGTGGAACGACTCCCTACAGATCCAAAAATCACACATGCAAATGTCCACTGGCCAGACAAGAATGAGCATGGATTTACGTGCCCTGTAATCTTTACTGGACTCTCGACTCCTCGTGGGCACTTCCTGCTCTGCTGTCCCAGGGGCCTGCTGCATCCAGGACAGCCATGGCCATTGTCTCCAGTGCACCATGATCTGCATCTGCAAAGCAGCTGCCGTGGGGGGAGAGAAGAAATTCCCACAGGGAAGCTGCCTGCTGTCTCCATGTTTTCCACATGCTGACAGGCAAAGCAGTGTCCTCTTGTCCCACTGTAATTGGGGCACCCTGGGCTCCTGCAACTCTTGGTCTAAGGAAGGATTCCTGGGTACCTTAAACCCTGGAGCAGCAAGGGCCTCAACAGCACCTTGGATTGCACAAGCAGGGACACAGCTAGGGGACAGGATTACTCCCCTATACTCAGCACTTGTTAAGCCACATCTAGCTACTGCATCCAGCTTTGGGTCCCCAGGACAAGAAAAGCCCTGCCAAACTGAGCTGAGTGCAGTGGAGGGCCACCAAAAACGACTGAGGGCTGAAGAGGTGCCCCATGAGCAGAGACTTGGGAATGGGACTTGTTCAGCTTGGAGAAGCAGCAGTTTTGGCAGGTTTGTAGCACCTGCCTAGGAGAAGGTTATCAAGGAGATAGATAGAGCCAGTCTCTCCTCAACATCATGTGGCAATAGGATGAGAGACAACGAGCATAGTTTAAAGCCAGATAGGTTCAGATTAGATATGAGAATTTTTTCAAGGGCAGTCCAGCATTGGAGCAAATGGCCCAGAGTGATTGTGCAACTACTGTCCTTGGAGATTTTCCATACTCAACTGGATAAAACCCTAAGCAACTTGGTTTGACCCCAGAGGAACCTCTTCTTTGAGTAGGAGGTTGGGTTAGAGACTTCCTCAGCACCTTCCAGCCTGAAATATTCTGAGAGGAAAAAACAAGGTTTTGCCTGTTTCTTTCTATAAATGAAGAAACAAATCTAGTGTAAAGAAAAGAAAAGGAAAAAAAAAAAGACAACGTAAACATTTTCAACAGATTGGGGAAAAAAAAGAAACCGACAATGGACATTTAAAATCTGTTTGTTTAATTTTATAATCTTATAAAATCCTATTATACAACATTCCTTCCCAAGGTCTTTAACCTTCTTCCAAAACATAAAGTGGTGGCACTGAAAAGAAAAAAAAAAGATTTTTTTAATGCTTTTTCATTTTACAGAAGAAAAAAGCATTTTTTCTTCTGTAAAATTGCTTTTTAAACTGTGAGCCTGTAAATTGGTCAAAACACACTTTTCTTTCAGACCTTCTCCATCATGCCAATAGCTTATGCATTACACAGGTTTTGTAGCAGTGTTCTGCTGAAAAAAGAGTTGTGAGAGTAAAGGGAGAAAAATTGTAAGGAATTCTGGTTTCATGTGGGATATCTAGAAACTAAAACAACAAAACAAAACCAAAACAAATCTCAAAAGAGAAAGATCTTGAAATTGATTCATAATTCTTTAGGAAGTCCACATATATCTGTAATGAAGGGTATCACATCTACAACCCATTTATTTTCTGCTAAGGAGACTGATATTTTCTTGAACGCAAATTTTCACTTTAGCTGCCAGTATCTCTGGTCTAACATTTCTCCAGTGTCTCCTCCAAAGAGGCTGAGGTGCCTTCACTGAACACCTGGAGGATCAGAACAAGTCCCAAAGAAGTGGAGGACTCCCTTTTCTGGAGTGATTTTTTACACTTATAATATCACTTACTGTAATTACTTAATTCAAAGATGATTGCTACAGCCAAGGTTTCTCACAAAAAAACTTTATTGTATTAAGATATTTTTCAAAAGTGCCACAGGCACAGATGGAGTGAGTTAACTAAATCATTTAGTAGAGTACAACTTAAGAAGAAGAAACCACTGCAACATTCACTCAGTTTTCCCATTGCTGCAGGAAAGAAGGGAACTAGGAAGTCCTAGGAGTCTCCCAGCCATGTGCTGGGACAAGCAGAGGATAGTCCCTGCTCTGGAGACTCTGCGAAAAGCAAGATGAGATGGTGCGAATGCACAGGAGACAATAGCTGAGCATGGGTCACTGAGAAGTCCTGAATTTGTGTATGTGAATTAGACTCAGGATCCTTCTCTGTATTTGTTTGGTCCTCACCCCGTAGATGATGGGGTTGAGCACGGCGGGCACCAGGATGTAGACGTTCCCCATGGCGACACGGACCAGCGGAGCCAGGCCTCTCCCAAACCTGTGCACCACGGACAGCCCGATCAGTGGCACGTAGAAGGCCAGGACCACACCAATGTGGGCAACGCAGGTGCTGAACGCCCTGAGCCTCTCCTTCCATGATGCCAGCTGCAAGACGGCCCTGAGGATGAGGGCGTAGGAGATGCAGATGAGGAGGGCGTCCAGGCCCATGACCAGCAGGATGGCAGTGAGGCCGTACACCACGCTGGGAGTGGTGTTGGCGCACGCCAGGTTCATCACATCCTGGTGCAGGCAGAAGGAGTGAGACAGGACTCGGGAGTTGCAGAAAGGAAGGGGCAGGAGGAGCAATGGCAAGGGCAGGAAGAAGAGGACTCCTCTGGCCATGGCTGCCAGGCCAATTTTCACCGTCAAGGCATTGGTGAGGATGGCAGCATGTCTCAGTGGGTGGCAGATGGCCACGTAGCGGTCCACAGCCATGGCCAGGAGGACAGTGGACTCAATGGCTGAGAGGGTGTGGATGAGGAACATCTGGAGGAGACAGGCACCAAAGCTGATCTCCTTGGTGTTGAACCAGTAGAAGGAGAGGACACGTGGGACCGTGGACGTGGACAAGGCCAGGTCGATAGCAGCCAGCATGCAGAGGAAGAAGTACATGGGAGCGTGCAGGCTGGGCTCTGTCTTCACAATGAAGAGAACAGCGCAGTTGCCCACGACGGCCACAATGTACATGGAGCACAGCGGGATTGCCATCCAGAAGTGGGCAGCCTCCAGCCCTGGGATGCTGGCCAGGATGAAGAAGGAAGAGCTGGGGTCGGAGCTGTTGGAAAAGGACATGGCGAGTGGGGCGATGCACAGTCACACTACTCCATTCCACTTCCTCCACTGTGAGGGCAAGAGGCAAAACACCATTAAAAACCCTTTCCCGTGATGGTGATACCAAGGGCATTTTCCTGTGAGATGCAACGGTATCTTACAATAGTTATGGCTATACAGGTGCAAGGTGTCTCCAGAAAATTCCTCTCCTACTTCTTTCTCCCATTATGGCTAGAAACAGCAACATATACACCCACCAAACTGTGACCTTTGAATCTAATCAGGAAATGCATGAATTATTTTAAACAGAAAGCAATATAACATCAACCCTTTCAGCGATAAATCAAACTACACTTTTGCATGATGATTTTTTTTCCTGATCTGCTGCACTGCCCTGGCAGCAATGTGCTCTGTGAAACTGCCAATATTACCTCCATGGTTCATTTCTCACAAATATTATGTGCACTCACACGGACAGACACACAGATTTATTTGTCTGAGACATGCATATGTATCAGTTTGGATGCACAGAATGATTGAATGTTTTTTCATCTCTAATTCCTGAAAACATATATTGAAATATATGAAACAATGGCACATTTTTTTTATGGCAAGCTCTGCACTTTGTTAATAAAAAAAACATTTTAAAGGTATTATGTAGTTGTAAAGAATTTCTCATTCTACTGCCTGTCTGAGAGTGAAGCCCTGTCTTTATAACTCTGATGGCATATTTTTTCCTGATGTTGTTTTTTTTCCATCTTGAATCTGTAACAAGTAAGATTCACATTCTTATAGCCACAGATTTTTTATTTTTATAAATGATTTATAGATAGTGCAAATATACTGTTAACATCATATTGCCTAGGAGTCATTTTATTGATAAAATTTTCAGCAAACTGCTTACATCAAGATGAAAGCTGAATGAACAAAGCACTTCAGTTTTTGCCGGCAATTATCTGAGCCACTTACCTGCCAGCCACTGAAATGTAATTACAGGGTGAATCTCTAGAAAAAAAATCTGCCATCCTATTCACTTCTTATGAAAGAAAGTGACTCGGAGACACAAACACAAAAGGTGAACTGTGCTTAGATGTTCCAGTTCATCTTTCACTCTTTGGTGTTGATGAATGCACCAACATTTTCACATATGAATAAGGATTTTGGATTGCTGGTGCAATGAAGACCAGATCCTGCAACGAGCTTGCTCTCCGAAAAGATAAAAAATGGATTGTTTTCTTTAAAAGCACCAGCAACACAGATTATTTCCCTATGCTGCTCCTTCCACCAGGAAGCCCCAGGAATCAAAATTTAGGACATGACCACCTGCAGATAATAAAATTGTCCTAGCCAGAGAACCACTAGCAGCAGCCACCAAAGCTGATCACGGTGTAAATGCTGATCAACACTGACCGGACTTCTCCCTCTGAGCCAAGATGTGTTTGAGCCTCCAGCTTCCCAGGATGAGTCAGGCAATGAAGTGATCTTCAGCATCTGAATGGTCCTTTCTACTTTCCTACTAGCAATGTGTCAGAGAGAAGGGATTATAAGATCCCTCCTCAAAAGCCCTTTTATCTACTTCCTTATTTTTCGCCTTCTGGTAATTTCAAGCTTCCTAAAAAGAAACAAATATAAAAGGTCCTCCCAATGGGATCTATTTTATGAGCCACCTGGGATCATCTCTCTGCAGAGGTAAACGTACACAGCTCCACTGATTTCCAACAGGTAATATTTGTGTAGACTGACCAAGGGGAATTTCAGGTTAAGACATCTCCTGTGAATTTGGCCTGCGGACTTCTGCCTCCTATGCCCTGCTAGGGCTGTGGGGGCCCTTTTGCATTGCAAGCAGACCCCTAGCCAAAGAAAGAGGCATTTCTCTGGTTACAAGAGCCCTTGGCAGAAGAGGCCACCTAAAAACGAATTACTGGACTGAGTCACACTTGCTTTGGTAGTAGGTACTGGATGACCCTGTTCTGTTTGTTTTAGAACTTGCTATGTTGTTTTGGACTTCATTTGTCTGCCTCATGTAGAGCTTCTGCTCTGGAAAAGTATGGTTTGCAAATCCAGTTCTCTGCGTTTAGGTGTGACCTCCTCTCCATCCCTCTGATGCTGCATCTTGGACCTTTTTCATGTTTAGGACAGCCTCTCCCAAGGATTTTGAAAGTCCTTATGCTGAGATTTCAAAATGGAAATGTCTGTGGAATAGATCGATAGTATTAATACATTGACCAATGCTCTTGATACTTGTCTTCTCCTGTCACTGAAGATGATTATTATTTTTTTCTCTTAAAACCCTAGAAACTTACATCAGACAAGCAACTTTGTGAATATGTAGCTGTTTTTCCATTTCAGCTCACCAGTAAATAAAACCAAAATACTTTTTCAGAGTGAAAAGAGAAGATAAAAACTAAAAATATAATAAATTACTAAAATCAAACAATTTTAGAAATAAAATTTCATTTTATTTTGTGGTTTGATCAGATGTTTTTCTTCTATATTTTAGGGTAGGAAGACTACATATGCAAACGTGGCAAAGGAGTATAAAGTATCTCAAGGATGGCTAATGAACCATCCCCATTTTTGAATGTCCCTCCTAGCAATGTCCCTCCTGCCTGGACTGTGTTTGTGGTCTTAGATGTGGTCTTAGACAGATGCCTCCTGACAGGATGTCCCCAACCATGGGCTCCAAGGAGCCCCTTGAGCTAGGACCCTGCTCCAGCAGCCAGGACAGAGGCTGGGAATATCCCCCTTAGGCAGGAACACCCTTTGAGAGACAACTCCGGTATTTTCCATTGGAAGTTTCCTCTGTATTTCAACTTCTCAAGAAATTTGGGGTGGAAAAAGAAAAAAAAATCCTTTTGGGTTCAGTCTGAAACAAGTCCAAAATCAAATTAAATGACACTGACTAAAAATCCTGATTCCCAGCTATTTCCGGCTGTAATAATGTTGTGTGCCTGTGCAACAGAATTCTGTTTCTCTGCTCCACATGCTGAATTTGCCAACACCAGAACTTGCATGGGAAGAGCTCTGTACTGTACTCTGTGCTGCAGGATGCTCATTTTCCCCACAGGAGCACACAGCAAGGGGTCTAGGACACAGTGCAATGAGTACTCAGCAAGCTGGTACCTGCTCCTGGCTGGAAGTCGCCCGAGTTAACTGTGTTTATACAAGCGAACCACTTATTACAGCAACCGGACATGGGTTTAAACTAGGATCCTTGTGTAAATCCATTTTATTAGCATTTTGCATGGACATATTAATTTAAACTGGCTCCCTGATCACTGAAAACTGAACATGGGCTGCACTGAGCCAGCTGGCTAGATTTTTTCCATGATGGCTGGATTTTCTCAACCGCTTTAGACTCTTATGGGTCCTTACAATAATAGTGTTGTAAGGAATGTGCCAGCTTCTGAAACCGACCAGGAATTAACCCATCCCAAACCCTAGAGTTAGTGGAAGCATTAGCATTTTCAATGGGTCTGAACGCAGGACCTCACAACTTATTAGAATTGACCTTCATTGTGAGTCTAGCATGATCTAACCTGGGCTTGTGGTTTTACAGAGTCAAACCAGAACTTGTTCCAAATGAGGGAAAAAAAAAATGCATAAAGGTCTGAGAGAGCCAGATGGGAAATACAGCACAGCTCCCTATGGCTTACAATAGACTGCTACTGCAGCAAGACCAAGAGGGAGGGCAGTGGATTGCAGGAGATCCACTAGCAGATTTTAAGTCTAGGGATCCTGATGCTCTGGGTCTGACTTTTTTAAGGTAAATAGGCTGAGCCATGCAAGCCAGATATGCTTTTCCCTGCTCTTCCTGTGCCTCCTAGGAAATAAAGCCATTGGCAAATACTGTAAGTGATCACATGGTACAAAAAAAGCACTCAGGGCACCATGGAATAAGTATTAGCTGGTTTAAGTGACTCATTTATCTTGTTTTTCTCTTAGACAAATGTTAAACTGCAATTATCTTTTCCATTCCCTGAGGCACCCAAAAATAGATTTTTGAACATATGTTCCTAAAAGATAGTACCTTATGTAGAGTTTCCTGAATATACTTGGGCATCTGCTTAGTACCCTCTGTCTATGCAGTTTTGGAAGTGGATGAGGGGACAGACGAAGCTCTGCTCAACTGAATAATGGAGATGGACCAACTGCACTGCAAGTATCTCTTCTCTGTGGTCTCCTGATAGGAGATAAATTATCTCTATGCTTCATCCCAGTTGTCCCAACCACCTGAATGCACATTGACTTGAGGCATGGGTTCTTTGGGCTCCTGTTGTTTTTCAAGATGTTTATAGCTTTTCAAAACTTTCAAAATTTTCAAAGGCAGAGGGTTTGATGGCATTTTGCTAAACTCTTCTTTCCTCTATGCGACGGCCCCCTGGGATCTTCAGCAAAATAACTAGCACTAACCAAAAAAAAAAAAAAAGGGTGGCTTGGGACTCCTTCCCTTGGGAATCTTTTCTTTTACCTTTCCATTTCTTTTATGAAATAGTTCCCTCATTATTCTCTTCTCTCTTTGTTCCGGGTATGGTTAGGAACAGAACATAAAAAGATGCTAGCCCTAGCTTGTCTGAAACTCCAAAAGAAATACTAAGTGCTTAGCAAGCCAACTCTGACATGAAATTTTGTCCCTACTTATACTGCTCTGTTGTTTCACCCTTCCGAAGTGATTGCTGACCATATCTTTATAGTCTGTTCCAGGCTGGCCACACTATGGCATAGAAGCAACAAAAATATGGATCCATCAGGTGGTGGCAAGGAAGCTTCTGGTTAACTTTATTCTCTCTGTGGGAGTGGTCTTGAAACCCCACTGTGTGCCTGGCTAAGACCTGTCCTACAGCAGAGCACTAAGATGCTGGGGGACTCTATCCCTTCCCATCCAGGAACTGCTCCTGGAAGCTCCTCCTGTCCTCCAAGCAGTACATTAGTGCCTTGTTGATCTCAGAATATTTTAGTATGTGGCCATACTATCACTATGTTTAGTCATTACTATTCCATCTTGGAAGCAGAGCACTGCT